TTTTTTTTTATCAATAATTGAAGCAGACCCAAATGAAGCTACGTACTGCGTGGTTCCGATAGATCTTTTATTTTCCGAAATTCAGTTTTGATGTCATATCCGTGCCTCTTTGAAGGAACATACTGCTTCTAATGAATTCTTCCTTCATGTAGAAGGAACCAGGGCCTCATCGTTACAGTCGCCTTTGCCGTACTTTCAGTAATTTATGCACTGTTTATTGAAAAGCATCGGCATCCCACTGTTATCGACTAGTTGCAAAGCCCGTGAAAGGTCTCGATATCTGAATGTAATTGAGCTTACGACTGAATAATCACCAAGTGCTACAGTTAAAAAAACAAAAATCCACAGGTGGATTAAAAAGGCAATGCTGGATCACGCAGTCCACATAAGAGCTTGGAAAGAACAAGCATACCGTTACCCCGCAACTCTTTTTCCCTAAAACGCGATTGTGGTCAGTGTACATTGTTCAGGTATCAACCCGAACTTCAATACTAGGAGGCAATATTCTAAAAGGAAACAAAAAACTTTTATTCGGAAAACCGATAACAACAAAAATTTAAGCAATAGAACCAGCATTGGCAGCGATCCTAGGCCAAAGATCTGCACATTCCTTAGCAACAGGTCCTGTGATAGCCGATCCTTTCATTTCTCCTTTGTTATTGACGATCACTCCTGCGTTATCCTCAAAGTAAATGAACGTTCCATCCTTTCGCCTGAACGACTTGCGCTGCCGAATGACCACTGCTTGAAGAACTAAAAAAGTTCACCTGCATCTAACTTCAGCAACAATGCCCTAAAAGGCACTAACCATGCTCTCAAAACTACCCAAATGGTGAAAGAACTACAAATAGATTGCTCAAAACCCCTGCTAAAACGTACCATGCAGCAAATTCACTGAGGTGCAACTCCTAGGAGTATGAAAAGTGCTATACCCTCATCTATCTAACATCATTCCATCCATGTCAAAAAGCTTTTTCACAATGAAAACTTTAGGATTTAGAGTAAATGCTGGATTATGAAATGCTGCTGAGCGGAAACGATTGCAGGAGTAACGGATTTGATCAACGATAGCTAAGCGCACTGTTCTAGCAAAATAATATCAAAAATCAGCAATGATTGACCTCATGTAAGCAAAAATGAATTTGTAGGAGGTCAATTCAGGCTCGAAAGCACGAAATCTTGGTAATGGGCAACCTACTAACCTTGGAATTCATAGGAAAGTTCAAAAAATATGGGGATCACTCACATCCATGATACCTAGTCAAACGCAGCCAATGCGACTAATGCTCTTACTGGCTTTGATTGTCTATATATCTTGCATACAAAAAAGGATCAATGCCTGTCATTCAGAAGAATTGGACACTCTTACTCTAGTCGTTGAGAGAGGCTTCACCCTATAAGCTCCTCAGCTCCGTACTTTTCAGCTCAGTTTTCCCAAGGCTTTAATGTGACTTGGGTAACTGGTCAGCTTGAGATACTTAAATACAACTTAGATGCATAATGCGATTGCGAACAGCAAGGGAAGAAAGAAGTAAGTGTGATGTATGAGGAGAGATAAGTTGACACCCGATATTAAAAGCATGAACGAATTCTGAACAAAAATGACGAGGAAAGAGAATAGAGCAGAGTTGAGTATTTTGTTGATGCAACCCAAAGTTTCCAGTTGTAACCTTGGCATGAAGCCTCTACTTTTTTAATCCCCAAACCAACAGCGGTGTGACTAGAAAAGCAAGCATTCATCCAGCCCTTGATTGAAGAATCAAAAGTACTAGCAAACGGAAAGGAAAGAGACGTCAAAGCATGGACATCGCTGATGGGTAAAAACATATCCGGCACTCAGTCCTCGAATAACATCATGTACACGGGCCGCTTACGCCAACATAGGCACAACAGCATATGTCACTGCGCAAAGATTTCATTTTTACATTTTATTGTTGACCATCCAAAGCCTTTTTTACAGAAAGATAACGTACTTTAACCGTGCTCAATAACCCTTACTTTAACATATGCTCTGACAAACCACCAGATGTATATTGAACACTGCCTGCCGAACATTTTTTTCAAGCATAGCCCAACCGCTCGCACTTGTTTTCGAAATAGTGAACGATGTTTGCCTTGATTTGAAGCAAAAAATACTGGGGCGTCAAAGAAGTCAAAGGCCGTGAATTATAACCAAATAAAACCCAATGGTATTGAAATAGGTACTAGGAACAGTCTATATAGAATAAAAAAACCAACCCTTCTTTCGGAGTTCTGGCTTTCCCTTCTTTACTGACGCAACAAACATATCACCAACTCCTGCACTGGGAAGTCGGTTCAATCGTCCACGAATTCCATATACAGCGATGACAAAAAGATTTTTGGCGCCGGTGTTATCAGCACAGTTAATAACGGCTCCAACAGGGAGACCAAGGGATATGCGGAATTTGGCTCCAGACGCTCCTCCACGTCCTCTCTTGGACATCTTACCTGCAAATAAGAGTGAGAGTGTAGCTCAATAATAAACTAGACAAGTAACTAGCGAACGAATAAGGAAAGAAAGAAGAAGCCAATCATGCAAAGAAAACTTTCAAAGCCGAAGAAACAACAGAGTAAATCAAATATGTTGAACATCACGAAATTGATGAGAAATCATGAACCACCCACAACACCTGCCCGAAAAAACGACCACAAATCCCTTCCCTCAGCTGCTAAAGCGTTGGAAGCCTCTGAATTACATTCCGTGGGCTCCACAACTTCCAGGAAGGTCAACTAAAAGCTTACAACAATCCAAAAAAGATAAATACAGTTCAACAACACATCAACTTGCAAACTTTCAAAATAAAAGTCGTTGCCGTTGGCAGAAATCGAATACTCAGTCAACGGTGAATATTCTGTGCGGGACCTTCGCTCGCAGTAGCGAATTCCAAAGCGCGCCCTTTTCGTAACCGATTTCGCATAATTTTTTTCCTCACCGGGAGAGTGGAGGAACTCTCGCTCGGTTATGGAGTTCATCTTTCATGCTACCTTTGAATTTATGCAAATAAAACTTGTGAGTTCGATGTGTGGGTCTTTTCTCAGTAGCGATAATGTGATAAGTTGCTTTTAGTGAAACGATTGTTCGATTTCTTTGGGATCTTTCGATGTTTTAGTTATCCTGAGGTATTTTATGGCCTGAAGAAAATCAGATGCCCTTGTCTACTTCCAATCCATTCCTTGCTATTCTCCTCCTTTCATTCTTTTTCAGTTCAGGAACAGTTCGATTCATTTTTACGGCTGGGACGCCGTTTTAACTTTTAATGCAATTTTTATAGTTTCTTTTTATAACACTTTCCCTGGTTCATGTTCACAGGCTGTGTGTAAAAGGGGTTCATTGCGGTGTGTGTTATTTCTAATACCGTGGTTGTTTGGTGTTGATTATCTCGAGGGATATCCGTGGATCCGTCCGGAACCTAGTTTAAGTTTGGTACTGTTAACTTAACAAGAATGAGAGGAACAGTCAGTGTTTTTCATTCGGATTTGAATGTTCTGCTCAATGTATGGTGCATACCAGTGCTTAATGATTACAGATCGGTTACTATAATCTTTTGTTAGCTGGGATATCAATCTGTGTAATTCTTAAGTATAGTTATTGACAAATTTTTCATTACGTAAAGTCTTAGTGGAATAGAAAGAATGCGAATACCTCCAAATGATTTGCAAGATGTATAGGCCCCGCTCAACAGGAACTAATTATTTTTGAAGTAATTGTGAGCTGGGTACTGCTGCTGTTGGTCTACTTGTTGACATATTCTTCAAAGAGGATACCTTCATGTTTGTTTGTAGTCGAGAATTTCTTACCTTACTCCAAGGTATTGTCACACGGATCTACGCAGCTTTCTAAACATTCATCTCTCTTTCCCAGGCCTACCTATAGCAGTCTTACATAAGGTGTTAGTAGCGACTAGCAGCCGCGTATTATAGAAGTCCGGTATCATTTCAAAGTTCTTGAAATGTCTTAACCAAAAGAAATGTCAGGTGCACTTCAAGAGTATCACTGAAATCTTCATCATCACTTCTGTCAAAGAATCCACTCGGTGCTGAACCGCTGAGCCTTCGTAGGGCGTAAGCCATACACCTCTTAAAGAATCTGTTTAGCCTCAGCCTTCAAGTATGAAAATCGTACTAGAGCGGAGAAAGGGAGGAGTAGCTAACCTTGCGATCCGTGATGGTTCTTAGGAACTTTTTTTTGGTCGGGGTAACATAGCGTTTAACCTAAACAGAGGAAGGGAGGAGTTTCGGGATTGAATCAGTTGAATGTTCAGATCTTACCCATCTCAGCTTTCTGCTCAAGATTCTAGTCACCAGAATTGCACGGGGGCTTGCACTAATGTACCTTCATTCAGTTACAAAACGGCAACCAGATGTAGAATAGTCATCAGTAGCGAAGAAAACTAAAAAATCTTAGAAATTTTGAGATGTAAGGCTTTTTTGATAATCTGTCCAAGGTTGGACGAGGTTATGACGACAAAGCGGTAATTAAGCCATCACTGCATCCATCCTATGTGGACCGTTTTTCGGCCCCACTGTGCCTTACGTGGCCTTCTCAGGAGCCACTTCACATGGACATTTGCCAAGACCATTCGCATCGCGAGTTATGCTTTATGGCTATAGGGGACTTGAGAGAATTTTGAGTGGGATTACAAAACGGCATCCCGGTGTAGAATAGTTCATTGGTAGCGAAGAAAACTAGAAAATCTCAGAAATTTTAAGTTGTAAGGTTTTTTGAGTTAATCATCTCCAAGGTTGGACGAGGTTATGACGACAAAGCGGTAATTAAGCCATCACTGCATCCATCCTATGTGGACCGTTTTTCGGCCCCACAGTGCCTCACGTGGCCTTCTCAGGAGCCACTTGGAACACTTCCCATGGACATTTGCCAAGACCATTCGCATTGCGAGTTATGCTTTATGGCTATAGGGGACTTGAGAGAATTTTGAGTGGGACCGTATCCAGCATTTTACGAGATGGAAAGCAGGAAAAAACTGATAGTTAATTCCGACATGCGTAGACGATAGTTATCATAAGGAAACTCGAATTAATACTGGCCATCTCACCTCTAACCTTCACTTCGACTTGTAATAACCGTGCGATAGTTCATAATGTTTATTAAATTATATACAAAGAAAATTTACAAATCTTCTTCATAAGAAACTGGTGGCAGTGTCTCTCGCTTGGAATCGGAATGCGATTCACATGTTGCGGTGACATCCAGCTTCTTTATCAACGTTTCGACAGCAGTCTCCAAAGCAGCGTGATTTGACTTTTCATAAAGTAACAGTACTACCAAAGCGAAGAATAGGGTCAATGTGGCAAACATAAGCATTCGTTGGGAGCGCTGTAGCCATTCACAATGCAATCGTAGTCGATCAATTTGTTCTTGCTAAAATTCTTTTACATTCTAGTAAACGACATAGGCTCAGATGTCAAGAGGACAGAACAGCTTACCTGAGAACTGATACTAGTTTTTCTTCCTACTTTCTCTGTGTTTGATCCTTCGCTGGAGGCGTCGTCAGCTATTCTGCACTTTAACTTTTGCTCCACTTTTTTGCTATGTTCGGCATTTTTCCATAGATCACCGAACATTTCCAGGTTGTTGCTTTCTGTCTCGAGCGCCATGAGCAAAAATTTTTCTCTTGAGCAGGAGTTCCTATACTCTGAAAGATTGTTAATTACGGTGTTGTAATAGATTTTTGCTGATTTTTGACTTATGGGATAACAAAAATTGGTCTATGGGATAGTGGCTATGCGAAATCACCAAATGGTCAGGTTTTTTCCCAAATGTTTGAATAGTTATTGGGAAGCAATATCTATTTGATTATAGTCCACAAAATTCACATTATTTCGACTTGTTCGAGAAATTCGGATGTATAATTTATGTTAAAGGTTTGATCAGCGGGCAAAAAAAAAACAAATAAATTAGAATTGCGTTTAAGTTATAAAAACGAGAGTAGCCTGAGCGGTCAGTGCTACGACTTTATGACCGATAGTCGAAGTCTCAGCGTATAGTTTCAATGAGGCTAAGCTACTTACCGTTTTGTAGATAGACGCGAATGATATCTGTTGTTCCAGCTGGAATAAGGCCAGTGCTAGGACGAACTCGAAACTTTTCCGGTGATGTTGTTTTAATCTTGAACATCACCGAAGATTGAGAGACGTTTCGCACGGCCACGACATCTACATAGTCAGTATTGTTTTCGAGACGGTTCAAAGTCAATATGTCGCGTGGACTGCAAAATGTGATTTACATTACACTGTGTTTTTCGAAGATTGCGAGAATCAGTCTGCTCAAGAGAAAGTGAGTACGGTAGAGAATGTTGCAATTTATCTGCGTCAGAAATACCTTATATGAAGAAAAGCATTTTTGATCCATTCTATGTCGGGACTGCGCATCCTTGCTTCCACCATTGGCTTCAAATTTTGTGGAATACCGCGCTTCACTGATCCGTTGCTAACCTTTCTGGTCAATGTCAACGGGGTTTTTCGATTTGCTTCTTCGTCATCGTCATCGAACGTTACGGCCTGTAATATTTTGTTGTTTATCACAGCACTTATGCTTATTTGGAAAAGCTTCCTTTCTCGCCAATTCTGAACACATATAGCATTAAGAAGGCGAGGGCAAGCGGGATCTCGATAGTGTAAGGGATAGAGCACGGTACCCGGAAAGCACAAGTACGTGTTCGAGTCCCGTCCGAGACTGAAGTTCTCTCATAAATTGCCAACCTTGTGAGACTTTCGCTTTGCGTACTGCGGCAAAATAACAGCCAGTTAACAAAACATCAAGTCTGAGCACATAGTTCTGTTGACAAACCTAGGTTAAAGCGCGCATATAAGGTTCTTCATAAGGCGAAAAACTAATCGGTTGTCGAGAGTTTCTAGCTCACAGTGTAATTAATTCTTTTTATGTCACAATTTTGATATATTTTTTATTCATCATCTTTACTACCTCCGTTAGAATCGCAACTGTTCGTAATACTATTTATTTTGTGCCATACATCAAACTAATAGAGAACGACAACAAAAAGAGACGTTCGTCTGGAATTATACGTGCTCAAACTTTCTTACACTGCTGTTACGTCAACAGCAGCTCCATTGCAACTACAACCGAGGCAGTGGTGTTTATCAGAATTCGATTTGCAGTACTCATTCAGTGAAGAAATTCAGTTTTCTAATGAACTATTGTTTTGTACATTCACTACATGGTGAAAGGAAATGTTTCGCAGCTGGGGTTCCAAAACCATCTAGTAGAATGGGAAAGAGATACAGGGAACAGTGATATTATGGCAACCATCCAAAAATCTATTTAAAATGAGTTCCTTTTTAGTTTTTCAAAGTAGCATGCTATTTTAAGGTGTCCCTCATCAACATTACCTACTTGTAACTTGAATGTGTCGAACAGTTGCTATCAAGAAAAAACTCGTGTTTATCGTAGACCGAGGTTTGTCAGTTTTTGATTTCGTTCCAGTGCGATAATTAGATGAGTTTTGGAAGTCAAATGAGCATAAATACACGCATTTTGAGAATGGGAAGAGCCAAGATTAATTAAATTTTCAAGAGATTCTATAAATTGTTCGGAATCTATAAAGACTAACCCTCCTCATTGCGACTGAATCAATTCCATTCCTCTCTGGGCTGCGATCTGTGTCGTCCAAGTTCATGTGGTTGTTTTCTGGTGGATTTGGAGGTGGTAAACACTTGGCAAGTTCATCCATACTAAATTGGAAGTGGTCCTGAAACAATTTCAATTTCCAAGTAGAATTGTCCAAGGCTTGAGGGTAAAATTGAGTAATTGAACCATTGAAATTGAACAGAATTGCCAACTAAATAGGACAATGAACGCCGTTTGTAGCATAAAATCGAAAGAACTTTCGAAAACAACTAGTTGCAGCCGTGACCCGCCATAGGTTTGGCAAGAGTGTAGATGAGCAAGTGCGCGTTTTAGCAGCAAGAAAAAAAAACTCTCGCGTTATCTAGAACTTCGGTTGGTCAGGCGACAGCTGCTATGGATACTACGAGAAACGGCAGGATTGCCTATTACACTTGCGCTTTCTCCCCCGAACAAGTGCGTCATTTTTATCGGATTGTCTCGGTGACATCGATATGTTCACATATGCCGCCACCGAAATGTATGTGTGAAATATTACTCGAGTTAGGATCCTAAATGATGTTATTTCACCTTTTCTAGAAGAAAATTCACCATTTCATGGTGACTCCAGTAGGCCACTAAAGGCGGCAGAAGCCAGAAGTGGGGTGGGAGAATTGGCTATAACTCCAGCCACGAACTCTCTATGAGTCGCTTCAACTCCCTACTATACTGATTGGCTATTTCTCGTTACAGTGGTTCTCAGATTGTGAGATTGGGTGAAGAGCTTCCCAGCTTTCCATTTGGTGCGAAAAATTCTGGCTTCGTTAACTGGGTGCCGCTTCAGATTTATAAGTTTTTTTTTTTGAAATTTATTACAAGCCCTTACGGAGCATGTGAAAATCAGAAGCAACTTGGAATTATAGGGCTAGTAGTAGCGTTACCACTCTTCTCGAAGCCAATTATATTGTTCGGCTGAAATTTCGGGGCCATCAAGCTCCCAGCTACTTTGTTAGTTTTGACTTTGATTTCATTGACCATTCCTCCAAATTACTGTTAATGGCGATTTTGGATCATTGCTAAATTATAGAGTTCCCGAAAAATTAAGGAAAAATGGATCACCTCTCCTCCCATGTGTCGTGGAAGGTATTTACTGTCGATGAAGTGGGCGATGGCTTCCTTATCAACATGGTGAATTTGCGGATGACCTGGAGTCAACCATGATTCGATCACCTGTGAATAGAGCTTTGAAGCTTTAATTGAGCTTTGAGTGCTATAGTTTGCTTACCCTCCACGTGGCATTAAATATTGGTGGGGATTCGAAAATGACCATATCATGAACAGTATTGGGGTAATAGTATTTGGAAGCATGTAAAATGAATTTGAATGAATTCATATCCTGAATCAGTGAGTTTCGTGATTTTTGGAAGTGTAATGTGCCTTTATTATGGCAACGTACCATGTTTTTCATACTCGTCCCAGTCATATCCACTACAATCGTCAGAGGATCGGCTTTCGTATCCATCGTATGACGCTCGAGCCAGAATATGAAGAGATTTTCGAAACCGATGTCACCTGGACGGTACTGGGCAAGGTTGATCCATACTTAAGGTACATGAGTTAGCGGCGAGGTAGACGTCGTGGTAATTGAAATGAAGAAATAAACATAATTGTAGTCACTGGACGAAGTGAAAAACAGAGGTGATTTGGTATGGCATGTCCAAATTCCAGAAAGAGGAAAGGATGGAGAATATCAGTTTGAAGGAAGGGTCGCCACATGAGAGCTCTACGTTCACTACATGAGAGCACGCCGAGGATGTGTACAGAAACGCGCCTATCCTTATGCCGTTCCTCACTCTGTATAAGTAGTCGGAATTTCGACTCTCTTCTTTATGTACCAGTCCCAAAGCTCTGTCGTTCGCCACGGCGACAAAAACGCTGTTGACAGCTGGGCTGCAGCACAGTGTTAGCGATGAACTCAGAGAAAATGCTCATTTCCTTCCAAACATGCCTAAGCAGACATTGTGTGTGTTCACCAATCTTGTAGAAGAGGACCTCATCAGACCTATCATTGTGGGATTAGTGGTTGATATGATATCACAGTAAAAGTAATAGTTTGCCTGAGTGTATCATGAGGTCATGCGTCACCTGAGAACGTATTCAGGGAAGTCCAAGTCCGGTTAAGTTAAGGGTTGGTTAACAACGGTTCAAGACGAGCGGTTCTCATATCGTGGAGTCCTTGACTCAGCCCAGGAACATGAAAGAGTAGATGATGTTAAGTAGCGGGCCTGCAAGTATGCAAGGATCACACTCCAGAAGTTCTCAAATGGGAATGGCTTCCTACCCCAACTCATATAAATCTATGTCGTCATCAGACCCAAGAGGGAGAAGGGGCTGAGGGGTAGGGAAGCTGGTAATATTTGGTGCATGATGTCCAAGGCAGAAAAGTGCTCACATTCTCGATAGCAGATGGAGCACAAGGAGATCTTTACACCTTCCTAAAACGCTCGGTGGTCGTTTCCAACCCGCTCAGGCTAATCATTACTTTTTCGTCTCTCACAGGTGAATCATTACTTCCTTGCACTAACCACGATCTCCGTGATCAGTGCGAGAAAGTAATGATTTTGAGGGAGGCTTCAAGTTTGTCCAGGAAATGGTAAAGGGTAAACGGATCAAGCATAAAATTTTTGGCGGATCATTAACGCTTCGAAATGCGCTCATTGCTCATTCAACATTTATTAAGAAAAGTTATGACGTTTTGCAGATGCAGCAAGATGAGGGGTGCGGCTGTACGGTCACTCCTTCTATTGATCCTCACGAGTTTGATTACATTTGAGGAAGAATAGGAGATCTAGTCAGCCTTGGTGGGTATCGAGCTTGGGCTTGATCCTCAGAACATTGGTATGTTAACAGAACAACATGCCATTACTCTCAAAATCCCATTTGGTTGATTTCGATCAGATTTATAAGTTTTGGATTGAAGCACTAGAATAATGGCTCTTATCATTTGGCGAAGTACATCTCGGCGATAAAACTTCAAAAGCCATTGATCTTTGGTCAGAATTACCCATTTGTTGTTACCCTCTCTCTCTTTCCATCTTCCTCCCTCACTCTGCCATGATAGCCAATGTAGTAAGATTGATTGCACTGCAATCGGTTCGCAATGGCTTTACACACTCAAATATGTAGTTAAGCAGTACCATGAAGCGTTTCGGAACTATCCCGGCTACAGTAGGATACGTTTTTTTGATTTGGACTTATCTCATTGATTACAAAGCAAGTTTACCCAGCTGCAGTATTTCACTGAGGAATGAAAATGCACGGTTATTGTTTCGGGTAGAGCAAGTTCAGGGCCTTTGCCAAGCAGACCAAATTAGCTATGCGTTTAGAAATTTCTCGACCTACTCTCTACCGTATGTGAGGTAATATGGTGGAATAAAAGAATCATACGTATAGAGCATTCGGTAAGATCTCGTCCATGAAGGTATGCAAGGCCGCGGTCGAGAAGAGGCTTCATTCCAAGAATACTGATGCCTTCAAGTAAAAAGTGTTCGAGAAGGAACTGGATTGACGTTGTAAAAACGGAAGGGAACACTCACGTTCGACTTGAAAATTGGTTCTCCATTGAATACATTGTGATAAAACCGTATAACTAATGTCTAAGTCGTAGCTGTTGGCTCGTAGAAAACAGGTTAGCCACCAGTCCTGTGTCTTGAGTCGTAGCAAATCTTCGGGAGTGCATTTGCGACAGCATTTGTCCTGTTTTGAAAATTCAATTTTGGTTGAAATTTTAATTGAATTTGC